ATCTGTGTGTAGCAGCAGCAGCTATGGGAATGGCATCAGGATCAAAAGTCGAGCAAATCTTAGCAAATCTCTCTCTCTCTCTCGTTCGCATTTTCTATCATGATTTATTCATTCTCCAAATCATAACAATTTGTCTCAGGTAGCGTTTTTTTTATTCACTCACTTTTCGTACATCTTTCTGTCGTTTCGAAACTTTTTTACTTAGTTCTGACATTTCAGTTTAATTTCAGTCGATTCAAACATTGCTCGTTGCTCCGCGCACAATTCCACAGTGGAACTGTTTTTTTCCTCTTTCTTCCTATTCGACTTTTCCCGGTTTTCAAATCAGTCGAAGCTCTAGATTTAATACACCGCGAATGAATGAAAGAAAGTAAAAAACGAACGGAGAACTGCAAATGCCATGTCTCAACTTTTCTTTTCGAAGGGGGTTTTGGCGCAAAATTTATTTAAAGTTTGGCATCACCAGTTGACTATAAATTCATTTATGCCATTGAGAGTTTAAAATCGGCTCTCTCTCTCTCGCTCGCGCGCTCGCGCTAGATTAAATTCAACGAAATTTCAGTTCAATTCAACTTGTTCATGTTATTTGAAGTTTTGTTTGAGATTTGCTTCTAATTCCACACTGCCATCGTTGTATCGCCGTATTTTGTGCCGCGATCTCTTTCTCACACAGCTGCTCCTTGCTTGCTCGCATTCTCGTTTACTCCTGAAATCTCTTGTTGGTGGCAGCAACAACAACGACGACGGCCGCACCACACCAACTGTTTATACATTTTACATTTTCTCTCCCGCGCCTCGACATCCGAGAAATATGCCACACTGCAATATATCAATATTCGGTGTGGATGTCGCCGCCGCTTCTTGAATTTATATTTCATAAAATAGTAATTAATTTTGCATGTTGTAAAGTTTATTCAATCTCATTTCTTTGTGCCGTGTGCTTTTTTTTCATATTCATTTCTTCTTCTGCCTTACGTTCGCTCACGCTTTAGCTTTGACTTTTGGTCGTCGGTCGCGTTTTTTCCGTGCACGTTGTATATATCTTGGATTTATTTTTAGCATCTAAGCACGGTGTGAATATGTTGTTTGTGAAAAACACACCATCGTTGTTGCTGTTTTGGCTTTCGGTGTGTATGTACACCGTACACTGTGCAGTCAACGCGCACCAGGCTCTCTGTTCTTCAACTATCCTTCTTTGTTATTAATATTTCGATTTTTTTTCTGCTAATTTCGGTAAATATTATTTAAGCATATATACTTTTTTTCATTTCGATCACTGTGTCCTCCCTCCATTGAATGTGACCGCGATTATGAACATTTCGCACTGATCATAGCCGACGCATTTCGCGGAGGATACAATAACAATCATGACCAACGTAACCACCTCACATCACTCCGTTTCCAAGATACTGATACAGGTGGGGATGTGGAAAAAAGTTCTGCATTTCCATTGGGAGAACCAACTGTTTTATTAATTAGAAATGGCACACGCACCCGGAATTTTTCCACCGTTAAACGGTATATTTTCATGATTTACGATACGGCAAATCAGACGGAAAACAAAGTTTCACGACGATGACGACACGTTACTTCAGCAGATACGACTTCAGTCGACCAAAACTGAGGGAAATTTCCGCTTAAACGGAAGAAGCCGAAAAAGAAGATGAGAAAGAATGGGAAGAAAAGTCTGTTTCATTTTCTAAAAATCGACTTGCCCAAAGATATGGTGTGAATAATAAAAAAGCCTTTCGATTGATTCCAGCTTTTGTTTGCTACTGAAATATATCCAATAGCCAAAATAACGTCATTCCAAATGGAATGCTTTTCATCAGCTGCACGGTGGGCATAAAAATTTAACAACTGGCCGTATGGTTTCTTTCATCGAAAATTTGTAGTGTATAAACTGAGACCAATCAACGACAAAAAAAAAACCGAATGAACCGAACGACATAATTGAGATGAAAAGCGACACACTTCTCAACAAAATGCTCAAATTATTAGTCAATAAATCAAAAATTGCGAGGAAAAACCATTCGGCACACGCGCCATTTGTTCCGATGTCCGAATAATCATTCACTCTCACTCTGTGTGTACGAATATTTTGGCATAAAATTGCGATTTTAAAGCGAATCCGAATCATAAACATTGTACTACATCTATCCATTTCGGAAATTGGTGTTGCCTTTTCGGCGTATTTTGTGTATGTGTGCGCTCACGCTTTCGCGCTCAATATGTATACTCAGCTTGCTGCTGCTGCGTTTTTTCGTGTGCGTGCGCGTGTGTGTGAATATATCCCTCGGTATTTATTCAATTTTATTTGTTGTTTACACAAAACGGTTTTCATTTCATTTATTTAAGCGCATCAGGCACTTATGAAAAATAAACAAAGCGTGAATGGGCCAGCAGTAGCAGTAGCCGAGCGAGAGAGAACAAAAAAAAATATAAATCACTTGTGGAGCAGAGAAAAAAGCATAACGTTTTGCACGCAATTCCATTTGAATGTGAGTAATTTGGAAAATGATTCGTGTCTTCGGTATTTGGGCGACGCACCAGCGGCCGCCATATGAAATGTTTATGCCATTCCATTCCGATTCCAATTCTCCAGCTGCAGATTGCAATAAAACTAGGCAAACGGTGCGTGAGAGAGAGAGAGAGAGAGAGAGAGAGAGAGAGAGAGAGAGAGAGAGAGACTCCGATATAGATTTCCACGGAAATAAATCAATCGATTGAAAGCCTCTTCATATCAATAAAAAAAACGAATACGGCATTCTCCCAACCAAATAGAAGTTTAAAGTAATTTCAAATGCTGAAATATTCTACGAATTTCGTTGTTGTTCTTTGCCCAAAAACAACGCACACAAAGTCAAACAGATTAACATATGAAATATTCGCTGCTAATTGCAAATGCTCTCATCCCATCAACGGCGTGCCCGCGTGCGAACGCTCAATATTGCTCTAAATTCATTTCATTTTCTCTCTTCCTTTTCGGCTGACGTCGTAAGTGGCCGCATAATGTAAAAAATCTGATATTTTTAGAATTTAGCAATCAAATTAAAAGAGTAGAAAAATATTGAAGAAAAGAGGAACAAGCAAAAACGCACACTGACCACTGTACTGACCACAGCACAGCGCACACGGGTCGGCACAAGTCGTCAGCTGTGGCGTCGATATCTGTTGTTGGATATCAAGATTATGTGTGCATAAAATTCGCATTGCAAACAACTAGTCTCATTGCATATTCGAGTCGAATGCTGCAGCATTCAACACGCCGATTCGTCGCTCCCATCATATCCTCACCTAATTTGAAACGTGTCGATTGCACAGATAGATAGATGGAGGACGCGAGCACGTCGGATTTGAAAATGCGTACATTCTCTCTCTGTGTGTATTTCTTTTCGGTTTTGTTTCGTGTGTTTTTGTGGCAGATTGAGAAGAGAGTTGCAACACATTATAAAAAGTTCGAAACGTATTTTTTGGTTCTAGATATTTTTTGACCTAATATTTGGTTCGAATCGTTCGAGGAGTATGCGAAACTGTCAAAAGCGGACACTTAATTATTTATATCGGGTTCGAAGAAGAAGTGAGCGAGAGAGAGAGAGCACACAAGCGAAGAATGAGTGTATGAGCGAAACGGAAAATGCACGATTACGTATCGAACAAATGCTATGTTTCAGATTTGGCTGTCAACGTCTCGATGGCAGTACGACGAGCTAACATGTTTTTCATCTTTCACTCCTTTCCCACTCTCTCGCTCCCTCCCCTCTCTCTCTCTTTCTCTCTTCGTCTCTCAGTGTGTTGAACACACATTGAATAGCTATAAAATTGGGAAAAATGGGAGAAAAAACCGAAAGACATGTAGATTGAAGATGAACAGTTGAATTACGGCTATTTGATTCACACCGTGATATGGAGCTATGATCTCTCTGGTTTGATATTATTGTTGCTGTTGCTGCTACTGCGATAGTCGACGAAAACAACAGCATGGGCCTGGTGAGCATACGCGTTTCGTGCCCGAGTGAGGTGAGAGAGTGTTGAATCGAAAGCGAAATCTTTCCGTTGAGTGAATGTGTTGAAAAATATATTAAATTCTATAATTAGAATAGATATATACCAAAAATTACGTCGCCCACAATCCATAAATTTTGATCGTCATAGTGCGCGTGCGCGTTCAGCCAACAACATCCCATTGAATTCATCCGTGTTCGTTTTCGATCGTAAAGCACTTTTCTTTTCTAATATTTCTCTCGTTCGCTCGGTGTATTTCTTGCTTAAAATCTGATGTGTGAATTAAAACGTTCCGTTTGGAATTATGGTCGTGAGTATTTCCTCGTTTCTTTTCTCTCTCTCTCTCTCCTCTCTCTCTGTCTCTCTCTCCGCTTCTCATTTGATTTATGTGTGATCAAGCGAGAACTCTCCACGCGAAATAAATGCAAATGGCGAAATCAACGTTTGTCAAATTGCTCAAATTTCAGAATGCCGTCATCACGATGACGATTCTTTCAAGTACGTGAAAATGCTTTCTGACTTTGGAACAACCAAAAATATTTATTCGACACACTTTTGGAAGCATTAAATAACCCGATTTTCAGACCAAAACAGTGGAAGAACCAGAAATAGTCGTTTTTCCTCTAAAATTATTTTAAGACAAGAGTCATTTTACGTTGAGAATTGATTAGAATTACCATCTATTTCGGCGATGCGTCGTCGCGCATCGCAACACCATTTTATTTTTACAACACACGTATCTCATGGAGGATCAAATTTAAAAATATACATTGTGGACTGAATGAAAAGAAAAAAATAATTTGGACAGAGAACGATTCCAAAAATTTGTCAATGGACATAATCGAAAAAAACAAATCAACGTGAGAGAAAAAAATCAAGTGAAAATTAACCAACAGAACGAAACGAAAAAAAAAACATTAACTGAACAACTGAATTGTGAGAGGAATGTATTCGACACACACAAATTATATTGTTGGTTCCAAATAAGCACTTACTTGTCTGTGGTGATCAATCGACGTTATTCGACGTTGTCACACGTTGGCCGTTTAATTTCGTCCGAATGATAGATTGACAAAATCGTTGCTGTTGCTATTGTCTGGCAATGGAAAGAAACAAAATTGTTAGATAAAGAATTGGACATTTTTATCAAAATCAGTTTTAAACATGGTTTGAAAATTAATATTTTGATTGCAAATCGATTCGCATTCAATGATTTCGTTGCCCTTTTTTCCTGCGTTTTCTCTCTCTCTCTCTCTCTCTCTCTCTCTCTCTCTCTTTCTCTCGCTCAAAATTTTCATACATCGCATACTATTTTCGCTCGACACGATCATGGGTGTGTGTGTGTGTTGGCAATCAGATTTGTCATTCGTTGTTCGTTCTGAATGTTTTCTCAATCGAATCGAATATGGTGTTTGAACGACCTACATTTTTGCGCATCTCTCCCACTCGCACGTGTTTTTCGGTGTTTCTGGCCGATGATCACTTGGTGTGATTTTATTTCTAGCACCCAATCATGTGCTTTTTTTTTATTACCAACATCAAATGGTTTTTTTTACAATTAGTTGTGGATTTTCCAGCGAGAAAGTGTGTTGTTTGGATTTCGAAAAGATTCTGAAAATTTTGGTACGTCATTTGAATAAAATCAATGGGATGCATTTGGCGCATAGAATCGATTCATGGAATCAATAAACTGGTCATTTGCTTTAAATGCAATTGACCCAGAAGCAGCGACTTTAAGCTGCAGTTTGATGGTAGCATAGTTTGCCGTTTAATTAGCATTTTCAGTGTAATGGAGACTTTTATGAAAGGGCTACAGATTCATGGAAAAACGCGCAACGATGAAAGGCCAAACTGGCCAAATGCACATACAAAAAGAAGGACCATCACGTTCTATTCAAATAAACATAAAATGATTATGCACATGCAACCCAACTAAAGTGCATCTAAATTAAGTCGGGCTCGCTGATGATGCTGTACTGCCCGTGTGTTTTTTCTCCTATTTTTTTTTTTTGCTTTTCCCATTCATTTTTCGCTTATGCATTACAAATGTAAGAAAGAAACAGAGCAATGCAAACGTGCACTTGCCGACAGCCGGTTTTTTTTGCCTCCTATATGCAGCAGAGCGAGTTGAGAGCCAAATGAATGAACGAATAAAAAAAAAATAGCAACAACAAGTAAATGGAGTCAAGTGCGATTTACAGGAGTTTGAATACTATTCAGCTCATAATACGCAGCTATTTTATTTGTCGAAATGCGACTGTTCGGGGATGATCCGAAATTCACGAAATGCTTGCTCCGATAAAAATAACATAAGCAATGCAAGAGATTTCAAGATGGTTTTACTCTCGATCACAGCAGCTTGAGCACACGCTTTTTGCCAGTTTTGCTTGCTCATTTGCTAAAGCGAAACGACACACACACACACACACACACACACAAATGCACACGGTCAACACACGAAAGTGAGCGACAGAGCGAAGAGGAAAAGGAACGAGAGAGCAAGTGAGAGAGAAAAATGAGCAGAACAGAAAAAAACGTTGCCGAATGAGCAAGAGAGCTGGACATTAAAATGCACAACCATTCGCATTGCATACAATTTAACGATTTCATTGCAAGCTTCAGAATTAATTCATAAGTCGGCACACACAATGCACATATACACAAGTATAACAACAAGTGAACTGAGTTAACGTTAAGCTCCCATAGATAGAATGCATTGCATTTCATTCGGTCGTCGTCGTCGTCGTCGTCGTCGTCGTCGTCGTCGTCGTCGTCGTCGTCGTCGTCGTCGTCTTCATTCGTATCATCCTTGTCTACTAATGCATTCCACCGCATGCAGATGAATTGCCATTGCAATCGACAGTCTGATAGCGTTTCATTCGCGAATAAATCCTTCATACATACGCTACGCCAAAGCAATGCTATTTAAGAAATAAAATAAACAAGGATTTAGTTATTTGTTTTCGTAATACGGACGACAACGACGACGACGACAACGATGATGATGAGCAATAATATGGATGGAAAAAGAACGCACGCGAAAAAAAAATCAAAAAGATTGCGCTGAAGAAACAAATGAAACTGCCTGATGGGGCGCGGACGGTACAGAGTAAGTGAGAGAATGGGCGAGACAGAGGGAGATGGAGCAAAATGCTGAATTCAAATTTGAATCGTGTGCTTGTCTCCGTCATCGTTTGTGTATTTTGTGCTGCTGTGCTCAAGCTAAAAAGAAAAATCCAGAATCAAAAATACATTGAACAAGCAACACAACGAGTGGAATGAAAACGATTCAAATAGCGTACTATTCATGGCATGTATTAGTGAGGATGGGATGTTCACGTTCTTCTCTTTCTTTCTTGATCGACTCGCTGCCTCTAACTCCCGCCTTATTGGCGTATGTTGAGTTTTATCTTTTGTTGTAGCTAAAGAGCTACTTGAGCGCAGAATGAGCATTTTTACTAAGTGGCCTTTTCATTTTCCTCGCTCTCTCTCTTTCTCTCATTCGATGCAATTCCTTGTAGTCATAGTTGTTGTTTCGTCCCATTTCATTTCGTTCATTTTTCGTGCTTGATAAAGTCAAGAGTTGGCAAAATGTACATTAATATCATCGATGTGCCATTAAATAAAAATCAACTTATTCCCAACAGAACGCCTTGTCAATTTATATTTCGTTTGTCATATTGAAAACGAATGCGTTGATCATAGCCGGTTTTTGCGCAGCCAATTCAAACGGGCGTCTTTGTTTGGGCTTATCGCGACGTTCTTTTCATTTTTCGTTCGAAAAACTATCAGTCATTTCATTTAGTGTGCCGTTTTTTTTCGTTAGCCCTGCCACTTCGATCGGAATATATCCACAAACAAAAATAAACATATATATTTTCGCCGGAACTGATAAAAACGTACAGCGAGAGTGTTGGCTGAAAAATGATGTGGATGACGATAGGATTTTGCCAATCGTCATCTCGTCACTCTCAAGCAAACAATCGAATGGAATTTCAATCGAAAACAAACTATATTTAATGCCATATTTGTATTTGTTTTCACTGTAAATTGCATGGAAGTTGAATTTCCTGCACTGAACACTCTCCCTTTCTCGCTCTTGCTATAGTTTTTTGTTTCACATTGAAAATATTCCGTTTTTTTTCTCTTGCGTGTGTTTCCTTGTCAATTACAATTCGATTTTTTCGTTGTGTACATATAATAATCGAAAGTGTTTGTCGAATCAGTCCAATCAAATTGAAAATGGCATGTGCGCGCGCGCTATTTTGGCCTAACAAATCCGCACGCGCTATCATGAGCGCGTGAACAATGCCAAGGCGATAAATATTGATTCGTACGATTTGCTCTCTTTTTTTTCTGTGCTAAAGCAAAACACATCTTTTGAATGACACACAAACGAAGAGTGAATCGTCGAGTGAAAAAAAAGAGAGAGAGAGAGAGAGAAAGAGAAAAAAATTGGAATGAGAATATGGAAATAATTTCATTGTCACATCATGGATGTCAAAATTATATGGAAAAACTTAGAGTTGAACGCGTTGTGTGTTGGCAATGTTCACCGTGATCGGCCAAACAACGAATACGATATGAACGAAGATAGGTTAGGCTTGAAAGTCTATAAAGTTCGCAGCTGAACAAACGATAACATATTAATTCTCCATATTTATACATATATACATTTTTTTTTTTGGTTTCCTCTTCATTCTATCTTTTTCTTGCCCATTCGTTCTTTCTGTTGAGCTCTCGTCAAATATACATTTTAGCCGAAACGCATTTAATGCCAGGCGCGCTTGCTGGCGCGCATTTTTTCTCTCTCCCCGGTCTATTTCTTCATTCTGTTGATTTTATATCATTCCGAATCATATGTATATATACGAGAGAGGCACTTTTTTTATCGCTTGCTTTTGTTTGTGCACCACATGGAACTCGGGTTTATCATTCCAGTGGAAAATACATAGACACATTTTTTGGAACCATTTTCTATATTCTGGAGATAATTACTAAATTAAGCGCAGAGAGAAGTTGGCTCGAATTTGGTGGAATATTTGTTTAGAAATTGCGAGAAATTTCGAGTTGGTACTAGCAAGAAGCGAACGGGAGAGAAAAAAAGAACTGAGCCAAAGAGGAAGAGAGAAAAAGAACGAAGGAGAGAAACAAAAAAACGTGTGTCTATATGTTTATGTATAACGGGTTCCTTGGGGACATTTCTTTTTAATTGTATTTCTAGCTCTCGACGCGACAAATAAATGTATTATGATTTTGTGTATGTGTGAGAGAGAGAGAGAGAAAGCGCGCGGGTTCATTCGTTCTCCAAACTCAGTTCCGGACATTCTTTATCCAAATGTGAATAGAATAAATATGTGTGTTTTACACAGCAGCAGCAGCAAGAGCAAGAGCATATGCCTTAATATCATCATCACATGCAAGAAAGGCGCTCGCGCACGCAGTGCACAACACTAATGGAGAGCAAGAGGCGAACAGAGCACAACATGGAGAGCGAGAGCAAAGCAGAGAGCCATAGAGAGACTTTTAGACACATCATATCAAATGGGCGGACAAACAGAAATGAACGCGCACATTGTGAAGTATTGTGTCGTTAAACAGATATGATATCATCATCTCTGCACAAACTGTTTTCTCACATTGTTTGGCAAACGTGAACGAAGCGCTCACGCGCGTTCTTCTTCTTTTTTTTGTCATCGCATTCGTTCAGCGATGTTTCGCGTTGTCGGCGAGCTGGCCTAGCTCAATTTGACTCACTCCGTGAAACTTTTTTTTTATCAGTGTGTACACTAGCAAGCAAAACAACACATTCACACACACACACACAACGTGAACATCGAAATTAATATTTTTCTTCTCCGATTCCATGCGTTTTATTTCTCTCTTTTAATGCCATATCGCTTCAATTTTTTTTATTTCTCTCTCTCTCTCTCTCTCTCTCTCTCTCTCACATTCCGCTGCCTTCATATTTTATTTCATTTCAACTCTCGCTGTTATTTCGTATGTGTGTGTTTTTTTCCATCACGTTCTTTCTTTTGGTCTATTGTTTCAAATACTAATATTTATTTCGAAAAACAATGAACGACAAAAAAAAAA